ATAATGTGCGGCCATCTGTTCGTGACCGAAAGCTGAAGCGAACTTGGATTCTGCAGCAGGACAATGATCCAAAACACACCAGCAAGTCCACTTCTGAATGGCTGAAGAAAAACAAAATGAAGACTTTGGAGTGGCCTAGTCAAAGTCCCGACCTGAATCCTAATGAGATGATGTGGCATGACCTTAAAAAGGCGGTTCATGCTCGAAAACCTTCCAATGTGGCTGAATTACAACAATTCTGCAAAGATGAGTGGACCAAAATTCCTGCACAGCGCTGTAACAGACTCATTGCAAGTTATCGCAAACGCTTGATTGCAGTTCTTGCTTCTAAGGGTGGCCCAACCAGTCATTAGGTTTAGGGGGCAAACACTTTTTCACACAGTGCCATGTGGGTTTGGATTTTGTTTTCCCTTAATAATAAAAACCTTCCTTTAAAAACTGCATGTTGTGTTTACTTGTGTTATCTTTGATTAATGTTTCAGATCATCAAACAAATTTAAATATTAAAGTGTGACAAACATGCAAAACAATGAAAAATCAGGAAGGGGGCCAACACTTTTTCACACAACTGTATATCAGCCCCTGCTGCATCTTCTCCCCTTGATGACAATGTTGCAGTCTGATAGCTGACAGAAGGAGACTGAGGAAATGCTTTCTACTACCTTCTGCAGCATGATGGCATCTTCTAACCCTCGGTAAAATCCCTTCTCTGGTGGTTAATCGCTACTTTTAAACTATAAAATGTACAGCTAGACATCTTTGTGCATTGAGTTGTTTGCCTAGAATTCAATGAACCTGAATGAAAAAAATTGAAGATTTGCTATGTTATAGGGAACATCTAGAAATGTTAAAGAAGATCTTCAGGAAAACTTTTTATTAACCCTTGCAGTGGGGCTACCCCCACACTGCGAGGGTTATGTGCTCATTTGTGTCTAGGAACAAATATCACAAAGATATACTCACGCGAAGCTCCGAGCCAGCCGTCTGTCACAGCGCTCCCTCCAGCCTGTCTCCTCCTCTGCAGCACATTGGAATCTTCCTCAGTGTCCTCACGCTTTTACGGTGTATAAATGTGATGATTTATGGTACCTTAGACCACTGCAGAGGAAGGGGGAGAGACGCAAGAAGAAAAGATCTAAGAAGAAGCCATCTCGGAGCTTCAGGTTAGAAATTATGTTTTTTTTAAAACCTAGACACAAAAGAGCACTTAACCCTTGCTGTGCGATGATGGCCCCACTGCAAGGGTTAATTTAAAAAAAATTCTTGGAGTTCTTCTTTAATTGTGCCTAAGCACTACTCTAAAAAATGTATCCTTTGTCTGGAATTTCTTATGAAAAAAATGAAGTGCACTTTCTGCTATGTGATTGTGTCAAGGCACTCCTATGTCTAAAACATCATAACTGGATATCTGCAGTGTGAGATCTAAGACACTGCTGCCTCTCCTAGTCTAAGGAAATTTGGAGTGAGATTTGGTGGTGTCGCTAATGTGCTGCTCACTGTTCTCCTTGTTGGAAGCTCTGACAAGAGGAAGCAACGGACACACAATGCAGAACAAGGCATGGTAAGACAGTAATAGGTAGGGCTACAACAACTAAGCGATTATAATCGATAAGGAGAATTATAGGCAACGATTCTCATGATCGATTAGTTGATTTTCGATTAGTTGCCGCCGCTCTGCTCCTCCGTTCTCCTCCCCACTGGTGCTGGCTGCAGCGGTCTGTGTCCCCTTCAAGCCCCGCTACTCTCCCTGCCTGTATCGGCAGAGGCAGTGGGGACACAGACCACTGCATTCGGCATCAGCGGGGAGGAGAGACCACTGTGACTGCATTCCCTCGCTGCCCCCCCCGTACCTCCGCTGCTGCCCCGTTCCTCCTCTGCCTCCGCTGCTGCCCCGTGCTTTCTCTGCCCCCCTCCCCGTGCCTCTGCTGCATGCCCTGTGCCTCTGCTGCTGTCCCGTTCCTCCGCTGCTGCTGCCCAATAACTCCACTGCCCGCCCCCTTCCTCCTCTGCCTCCCCGTGCCTCTGCTGCCACTCCATTCCTCCGCTGCCAGCCTCGTTCCTCCTCTGCTCCCTCTGTGCCTCCACTCCATCTAGAGCAGTGGTGGCGAACCTATGGCACGCGTGCCAGGGAGGGCACGCGAGGCCCTTTCTGCTGGCACGCGAGCCCAGGTTCAGGCCACAAAACATTAAGGCAGCCGACGGGGCGAAATCGTCGAACGAGCGAGCAGGAGGAGAAGGGGGACGGAGCGGCAGGGGGTGGAGACAGAGGGAGATGGGGGCGGAGATTTGAGAGGACGGGAGGAGCCGGGGGACTAAGTGGCATGAGACGGCCGGAAACAGAGTGAGATCGAGGCGGAGATGAGAGGACGTGAGGAGACGGGGACGGAGACAGGGGGAGATGGAAGAGGCCTGTGAAGACTGCAAAGGCAGAGAACGCGATGGAGGAGGAGTCGCCATTGGGCCAGTAGAGCGGCGAAGCTGAGAAGATTGGGCGCCGAGGCAGCAGTGAAGGCTGGGCTTCCCGTGTAAGGTAGGAGCACTGTGCTGGCAGGGCCCACCATAGATTATGCACAGCCCACCAAAGAGTCACAGGATCTGTGGGGGGCTTTGCAGGACTTGTGGGGGGTTTTCAGGATCTGTGGGGGGCTTTGCAGCCTGCAAAGCCCCCCATTGATCCTGCACAGCCCTCCTGAGATCTAGCAGACTGCAGGGTCTCAGGGAGTCTCTGCAGGATCTGTGGGGGGCTTTGCCAGATCTCAGGGGGGCTGTGTAGGATCTGTGGGGGGCTTTGCAGCTTGCAAAGCCCCCCACAGATCCTGCAAAGCCCACCACAGATCCTGCACAGCGCCCCTGAGATCCGGCAGACTGCAGGGTCTCAGGGGGTCTCTCCAGGATATGTGGGGAGCTTTGCAGGATCCGTAGGTTGCTCTGCCTCCTGCAAAGCCCACCACAGATCCTGCACAGCCCCCCCGAGATGCGGCAGACTGCAGGGTCTCAGGGGGTCTCTGCAGGATATGTGGGGAGCTTTGCAGGATCCGTAGGGTGCTCTGCCTCCTGCAAAGCCCACCACAGATCCTGCACAGCCCCTCTGAGATCTGGCAGACTTCAGGGTCTCATGGGGGCTTTGCAGGATCTGTGTGGGCTCTGCAGCCCCATGGTGGGCAGAGCCCATTACAAATCCTGCACAGCCCCCCTGATACCCTGCAGACTGCAGGGCCTCCAGGGGGCTGTGCAGGATCTGTGGGGGGCTTTGCAGGGTCTCGGGCCTGTGCAGGATCTGTGGTGGGCTCTGCCCACCATAGACCCCGCAGAGCTCACCACAAATTCTGCTAAGCCCCCCTGAGACCACAGCTTTCCTGCTATGCTAATAGCGGAACATGTCAAAAGCTGGATACAGTGTTTGCACTGTATCCAGCGACTGACAGGTCACGCAAAAAGTATTAAACAGGAAGCGGTGGGGTAAATTTAGTGGGGGTGGGGGTGCCCGTGTTTTGCCTTGCCTAGGGCAGCCCCAAACCAGAATACGCCACTGCGTTCAGGGACCACCAATTGAAATAGATCTGACTGACCCAGATCGCCTTGGTATGCGATCCGGGCCAGTCACAATTAGGCAGCGGCAGCCAATAAACAGGTAGGTTAGACGGCTGCTTCCTCCTCGCTAGGACCCAGTGAGGCCCCCGCAAGCGGCCGTCTAATCTGTCTGTTTAGAGGTCACCGCCAGTGCCTGATTGTGACCGGCCCGACTACAGAGGCGATCCGGGACGTTCGGGTCCCTCGTGAGAGCCGTACAAGGCCGTAAGGCAGTGATGTTGAACGTTTCTTAAACCTGAGCACCCAAACTGCAATACTAAACTTATTTTCAGCGCTGGCACTTTGAGATAAATAAATTGATTTTGCGTCGCAGTTTGGGCACTCGGGTTCAAAAAGGTTCGCCATCACTGATCTAGAGGATGGGAGCCATACTCAGCCTGCTATTGGATATTTTAAAATGCAATAGCCAATAGCAGGCTGGCTATTGCACCAATATAACTTTCTCCTTCAGGTCCCTTCTCTGCTGATTGACAGCAGGCAGTGGGTGGGAGCAATAGCCAGCCTGTTATTGGCTATTGCAATTTTAAAATATCCAATAGCAAGCTGGCTATTGCTCCCAGAAATAAAGTATTTAAAAAATAAAAGTTTAAAAAAATAAAGTAAAAATAAACTAAAATTAAAAAGACTACAAAATTTTTAAAAGTTTTAAAACAAATGCAAACAAATGAAAAAAGAAAGTTAAGCTTAATTAAAAATAGAACAAAAACATTTTTTGATTTGTTATTTTAAATAAAAGGTTGGTTATTTTATTATATTGACTTAGAGTTTTACAATTCACATTTTTCTAAATCCATGAAACTAATCAAAATGTGTAATATAATACATAAACTTGTTAAAAAAATCTATATATATATATAACAGGTGGGAAAAGTAATTTTCACTTTCGGCCTGAAAGATTTTGCTGATTGAGGTACGTTGCGGTGCCATTCTTTTCAATCGATCCCAAATGCACCTGCCGTCCACAGTGTGATCGCCCGCACTGGAACGTCCGGTACTGCAATGCCTTGCGTTCTAGTGCAGTGCGATTTCAAAAAATTTGCATACCGATTTATACTGAAGTAAACTTTATGTCTGTAGTGCTGCATTTGTGTATTTTATTTTAAATAGATGACGGTATTAAGTTTTTTATTTTATCCGTTTAATCAAAAAAATGATCGACCAACTAATGATTATAAAAATAATTGTTAGCTGCAGCCCTAGTAATAGGGAAAGAACATTTGCAGGGAGACCGCTGTGTAATACTGGTGACTGGTCCCTTTTGCCTGTGTTTTTTTGGGCACAGCTTCCAGAGTTCAGGTGCTCTTGAAGATTTATTGGGTGGATCTAGTGCTTTTAATTGTTTGAGAACACTATGCCTCATTTCCATAAAATCCTTTATTTCAGCACTTTCTATCCTTGCTTACTTACAGGTTCGATCTCCGAGCAGTTGCAACCTCCAGAAACATTGCAGAAAGTTATCTTCTGGCTTGGCTACTTCAACAGCTGCATCAACCCAGTCATCTACCCTTGCTCCAGCAAAGAGTTCAAGAGAGCCTTCATACGAATCCTAAGGTGCCAGTGGGGGAACAGAAGACAATCTGTTTTGCGCAGATCCCAGTTCCGACCTCGGAGCAGCAGCACCATGACCCAGCCACGTAAGGAGTCCATGGATGACAGACACTTTATCAATGGTAGCCAGAGGACAGTGACAACCATCACTCCAAGCTCAAGCTACAGGAGCAGATCACCCAAAAAAGAGGACAGTCCTCGAGGCTGGAAGCATTCTTATATCCCTGTAGACTTGGATCAAAGACAGATATCAGAATCCGATGTGCAGGACAAATCGCAAAGTGTCTTCATTTTTCTAGACCCTTCAGACTATAATGGACATGGCACCGACATTACAGCTCAAGACTATAGCGGACCCAAAGCCAACCCCGGTCTGATTGTAGTGCAGGACTCTATTCACTTTAGATAATATCCATTTAGCTGATAATAATTCGTAAAAGTGCCATATCCATGTATCAGTGGGTATTTAGAGCTTTTTCAGTAATCATAGATGATCTGGAGGGGGTCTAAATACTAGCCTTTAAAGGGAACAAAACTCAGTGACTTACAAAAACAGCAGAAGCAAGGTTTCATAAAAGCCAACTTAAAGCCCACTTGAAGTTGCAAAAATAGATATAAAGGTGTCTGTCCATCCAAATGTAGCAGTAGTTTTGTTTTTTTAGCTTGAATAGCAAGGAAGGATTAGAGCCCTGTCAGGTCTTTACTGTTATTCCCTTAGATAATTCCTCTCATTCACTATCTTGGTGACACCAGATAGGAAATGAGCGGAAATCTCCAAAAACAACAGAGACAGAAATCACATTTTTTCCCCCGTAAATCAGGGGAAGGCTAGAACCTCTGTCAGACTTCTATTGCTGTCTGTCTTTGTTAAAGGTTATCTTTATATGAGACTTCAATTGGGCTTTACATCAAGCTTGGCTGATATAGGAGCCAGGTAGTTCATAGAACTAAACTATTGTATTTTGTAAATTGTTTTGATTGTAATTAGTACAGTTACCTGCTCACTGGCTCCTAGAAAAGACTAACTGACTTCAGGGTGCTTCTTTAAAGAGGAACTGAACTCTCGAATATGCGCCAAAGTAGGACAGGCAAAGAGCTAAGGACTAGTCATCTGCTTTGCCTGTGGTGTCCTGTAAATTATCTTTACCCATTATTGTCTTACAATGTCTTGTTCGGCTTTGTGTCCCTGTATGGAGGTCACCATCTCGGTAGAGGCAAGGCTTTGCTTCCCTAAATCAAAGCCTCCAGCAAGGAGAACAGTGAGCAGCACAATAGTGACATATCCAAATCTCACTCCATATCTCTAGAGACTAGCAGTCAGAGGCAGCAGTGTCTTAGATTTCACATTGCAGATATACAGCTACGAGGTTGTATGGACAGGAGAGTGTAGGCACGCTCACATACCAGGAACTACTCTGCTATATTTCAGGAGGAATTCCAGACAAAAGGTACATTTTTTTTATGGTACTGCTTAGGAAGAAGTAACATTTCTCGATGTTCCCTATAACATAGCAAATCTTCCCTTTTGACTACAGGTCTAATTGAATCTCTTTGACATCTGACTCAAGTCCAGTGATAACTGTTATTAAGGAAACACGAGTTATAGTTGATGAGGAGCGCTTTAAAGGTGTTAAATCCTGAAGCATGTGCTTCTTGAGATCAATGTGAATAACTTTTCTTTTCCAGCAGGTGGCACTGTTGTACTTTTTTTCTTTTCTTATTGAATTTTGTTGTTGTTTTTTTTGTTGAGCTGTGTGCTATGTAACTGTGTACTGACTTTAAACCACAGATAGTACTGAATGATTTTTATTTAGTTGTTAACAAAGTAGTTGTACACATCCAGTCAGCTTTACATAAAAATCTAGAATACATAGTTACATAGTATTTGAGGTTGAATAAAGACATTAGTCCATCAAGTCCAAGTTTTTGTCTTTCAATGTTTAACAATCTGAAAGATGTCCATATTTCTGATTGTGTTCCTGTGAAGTATCTCTTCTACGCATTTTTACATGACCTGTTACATTTGTCTTTGCTTAAAAGAGACTCACAATGGGGAATTCCCACAGGGGAATTTATCAAAACTGGAGCAGACAAAATTTGAAGCAGCTGTGCACGGCAACCAATGGGCTTCTCTCTTTCATTTTCAAATCTTAACTGAACAAAAGGAAGAGCGAACAACTGCTCCAGATTTTGTCTGCTCCAGTTTTGATAAATTCTCCTCCCAGTGTTTCAAAGTATGAGGAGCATGTGACTCACTCCCCTTACTGTCATGTGACAACCCTAGTGCTTTGTGATCAGCCGCAAATTGGTACTTGGCACCGGTACATACGGGCAGGCAGAAAGCCCTCTGACTTTGTGTATAGCCCTCGGACTTTGTGACTGTATGGGTCACAAAGTCACACTTTGGAATACCCCAATTATTCACACTTATCTTTTTCTTACAATGAACATTGAAAAATTCAAAAAGTCCCTCTTACCCTCTTATAATTAATTACTGAAAGGCAAAACAGTAAACTGTGGGTCAGACAAGTTGTAATTGATGAGTAAATGCATAAAAAATAATGTTTTTTTATAAACATATGATAGTTGTGCCTATTTTACCACCCAGCATTATACTGAACTGTGCAGGATATGTGCATGTTGAATATACTATATGACCAAAAGCTTGCAAAATCCTGACCATCACACCTATATGAGCTTGCTGGACATCCCATTAAAAAACCATGGGCATTAATATGAAGTTGTCACTCTTCTTGGAAGGATTTCAATAAGATTTTGTAGTGTGTCTGTGGGAATATGTGCCAATTCAGCCAAAATAACATTTGTGAGGTCTGGTCCTGATGGTGGAATGAGAAGACCTGGCTCACAATTGCGACCGGGCCCTGGCATTCCGCCTGTTGGAGGGGGGCCCAGCGAGGGAAAACAGGGCCCTCCCGAGATCGTGCCGCTCCTTTCCTGCTGCTCTGCCACCCGCAGCATGTACGGGTGGCTGTGCGGCAGTGCAGTAGAGGCTGTCACTTGTCCCGCAGAATGTGCTGCAGGCACTGCCGGGCAGCACATTCTGCGGTGTGAGGACCCTCTCCTCTTAGCCCCGCCCCCTGGCTGCAGAGACACGGAAGAGGGCCTTGCAGGAGAGGGAAGGTAAGTGGGGGTGCTGGTGGTATTCTGCATTGCTGACTTTTATTATAATGTATTGCTGGGACTTGTAGTCCCACATAGCTGGTGGTATTCTGCATTGCTGTATGATGATTATATAGCAATGCAGAATAGCATCAACTATGTAGGACTACAAGTCCCAGCAATGCATTATATTTTTACTCGTACTTGTGAAAATGCCCCGATACTAAGCGCAGATTCCGGTGTTCTGTCGAGAACGCCGACGTAGTTGAATTTGCCTACCTCAGCATCTGCACTTGCGCACAGAGCAGTATTATCGAGGAAACAGGGATTTATTACAAAGTATTTTGTTTAAATCTTTAATTGTGACCGTTAATAATATGCCACCCATCATTTACTGCCACCCATCATTTACTGCCACCCATCATTTACTGCCATGGACGGCATATTATTAACGGACACAATTATCCAAATACAAACGAATACTTTGTAAATAAATGCCTGTTACCCCGTTAATCCCGTATGTGCGCAAGAACAGATACTGGGTCGGCGTTCTCGACAGAACACCGGCACTAACATTTTAAACAAGCGTCTGCCTGAGGTCCTGCAATTGCTGGGGACCTCGGCAGCCTACCTGTTAACCATGCGGTGCCATGGCGGGCCTTCATGGTTTCTTGCTACGGGCCCTGAAGGTTCTAGTTATGCCTCTGCTCACAATTCAAACTTGTTGGACCTTCATACAGATTTGCTCTACTTTGTGGCTATAAGAGCCTACACATTAATGAAAAGGCTATCCACAATATTTTTGAGTGTATCTTTGAAACGTTGTGCCCATTCAGCCAAAATACATTTTTGAGATTGGGTGCTGGTGTTGATTGGGAAGATCTGGCTCACAGTTGCTAAAAAAGGTGTTTAGCAGAGTTGAGGTCGGAACTTTGTGCAGACCACTCAAGTTCCTCCAATTCAAACTCATCAAAACCATGTATTTGTGGAGCTGGCTTCATGCACAGAAGCACAGGAATAGTGGAACAGAAAAAGGGTTGTCCCCAAACTGTTATTACAAGGATGGAAGAACACAATTGTCTAAAATGTCTTTGTATGCTGTAGCATTACCAGCACCCTTCACTGGAAACATCTGAACACAATTTGGAGGGGTGTCTACATAGTTTGGGCCATATGAGTAAGTGCGATGATCAGGTGTCCACAAACCTTTGGCCATATAGTGTCTGAAACCTGTGCAGAGTCAGCTGCCCTTCTCCTGATGTTATACTTGTCTGCAGCAGACTCCAGCTATTGATGTACAGATATTTCTCTTCTTGACTTCTATACTGCATATTATTGAGCAGCGATGACAGGGATGCTCAAGAATTAGCTAGTCTCTTACATACTAATGTAAGAGACAATGCTGACAAAACACATTGTGTGGACATTTTTCTTATGTATTGAGCTGACTAAACGGTGACAGTTTCCTAATGGGACATTTAATGTAATGTTATTGAATATACTGTATAATCCTCCATGTTTAATGGGTTTTCAAACTTATTTGCCCACAGTGAAAAGCCTTAAGGTATTTATATATAACTGCATTGTAAATATTATCTTTGTGACACTAATAAAATAACAAGCTTCAGGTCAGTGTGAATGCAACATTTAAACTCCGGGCTTTTGCTATTTTTTACCCACCTTTTTTAGAGGCTTTCATGACAGTCATGTGATGCACACATATGAGTCCTCTTTCGCTTTGGCTCTTCTTGGGGCCGGGTGGTCCTAACTGATACAGAGAGTGGTGCTGACATCAC